TGATCTTGAAATCCTAATCAGAATTTAAACAATGGATTTAGGACTTTTAATCCTTTACCTTTTAATCTTCAAGGCACTTAAATCTTTAATTTTAAAAACATAAACAATAATAAAGGACTTTATAATTTGTTTCATGAAAACCTCATCGGAATGTAAACAATAAACTTTGAACCTTATCTTTTAATCTTCTTTATTTGTTGCGGATTGACTGGTTAAAACGAATGGATGAAAGTTATAAGGAGGATAATGCCCGTGTGATTAAAAAGGGGACGTGACCTTATCGTAATGTAATATAATATTCCTAAAATAAAAAATAAATCATACGCAAACAATTGGAACAAAGGGAGATGCTTTGGCCAGAAATTTATTTTTCTAACAACGAAAAGTATACTCCTTCACACAGCTACAATGTCTAATATACCGTTTATATATATATTTCTATTTTTAAAATTTTGACCTGTTTTACATTATTTCTATTTCATGCTTTAATTCGTAAGTATATTTTTATTTCAATTATTCAGCGCATGTTCATTAAAAGATTCTCTAAGTTGTTTGGCTATACGCTATTTTTGTACTTGAAAATATCTCAGAATTCTTAACATGAATGTAGTTTATAGTTAACTTAAAGAAAATCCGTTTAGTTTGCATAGAACCATTTATTATTGAAATAATAAATAAGCACATTCTATTGAAAGACTTTATAACAAAAAATTAAAGATCGTATATAACATTAGGTTTAAGCGTTATCTCTTAGCCTAAACACTCCTCACAGGGGTCTTTCTTTGTCTATATTAAGCTTATATATATGGAGATGAAAAAAAAAAAAATGAGAAATTACTTTAAACAACCTTAAAGTGGCTACACTCAGGGCTTGATGGCAATGGCTTTTAACGGCGGGTAACTTGAAGCTTTGTTTTCTTAGCTGTCCATCAAAAAAGTTCGAGCTGCATTCTCACGAATACCACGGTTGTATGCGACAGACCAATACCATAATTTGGATACCATTCAAAGACGTTTTCTTCAAATTTTGTGGATAATTGAAGAAAACGTTTCGTCATACTCATTTATAACGTCAAATCTAATAATTTAATCTCTAGAATAGACTGCCAATTTAAAGCAGAGAAGTATAAAATGGCGCCCATTAGCAGTTTTTCCAAACGTAAAAATTGCATGATTTGAAGATCTTTTTTTTTCGATTAAAAATGAAACTGCACACATAACCCCTCTTCTTCCCTCCCCCTTCCTCAGGAACCAAAAAATGTCAGTCGTAGCAGGAAAGGAGCGCACCGACAGACAAATTCAAAATTATGTTTTTTTCGCCCCTAGCTTTTTTGCAAATATCGAGAAAACAGTTATTCCTATAAGGATATTTATTATAAACTAATTTGTAGTGCATTATACTAGATCCAATTTTTACCCTAATTAGAGCTCTTTACGTTAGATAGTTTAAGAGAATTGGTGTTTGAAAAATCACCATTTTTTTCCGGAGGAGTCACCAATTTGGGCGTTTCTTTTATCAAATGTTATGGGAACTGTTAAAATGGAGATAGTTATTTTAAAATAATCATATAATATTAGTTCTCTACTAGTTACCTCTGTCAAGACAGTTTCTAGCATTAACCCAATTTCAGAGGAGCCCTCAAAATGGAATAAAGGTTCTAAAACCTTAGGGGAGAGTTGAAATTATATTCAAGTTATTTGTCCCTCATAAAGAGTCTCGAGTAGAAAGAGAAAATTATAATAATTTCTAAGGAGTTGGAGAAAGTTGATTAAAGTGGTCAAAATATGGTCGGTATTCGCAAAGCTAAAAAAAAAAAAATAAATAAAAGAGAGTACGAGGTTTTATATTAATAAGAATTAATATTTTTTTTATCCTAGCTTTCAGAATCAATTATATTACATACTGTTAAATGGATTCGATCCGTGTCATTGGCGGATTAAATCTGTTACAGATCATGAGCGATGGCTTGGATTTCTGATCTATTGCAATTTAAATTTATTATCATTTATCATACATCATATTTTTTAGTTCTCTAGTTTTTAAAATGACTTTTTTAATAAATTTTTTATTTGTATTAGATATTTCTGTTGATGTGAGTATATTTTCAAGCCCGATCATATGGATTTCGGTTCCGTCTATTTGAAAGGAACGTATGTACGTTATGTACGATCATTTTTGTATCGACTTTAATTCTTCGGTTAAGTATTGCCTATTAATTATTTGTGGATCAGAATCTATCCACAGAACCATAAGCATACTGCATTTCATCATTTTAGTTTACTGCTTAGTTTTTGTAATAGTGATGTGGTTGACTGTAGTGAATAATTGAAGAGAAGTTGGCTGGAGTGTTCAGTCAAAAAATAAATAAATAAATAAATAAATGATATCTTTATATTTGCCGATTCGGCTTTATATTTATATTCATATTCAGCCCAAAGTCCAGGCCTTCATCAGGGCTAAGAAAAGACCAGATAATAATATGAGAAACTACTAACTTCTTAAAAAAAATTAATTAAATAAATAATGTTAATAATAATAATGGAAGGAACATATGAAAAAATTAATAATAGTAAAAAAGAGGAACTTATGAAATAACTAGTAACAATATTAGAGAGGAACTCATTCTCATATTGCTATTAAGTCTATTCTTATCCCTGATGAAAGCCTGAACTTTGGGCTGAAACGTCGGCAAATATAAAAATAAATATCATTTATTTATTTTTAATTTGTTTATTGTTTACTGACCACCAGTCAGCTTCTCTTCAATTTTTAGTTTTTGAATTATTCACTTTTTTCAAATATACCTGAGTTAGATTTTTGTTTAACTGGAATGAAGTTTCTCAATCGTCAAGGACAATTTCCAGATTTTAATATCGCAATCATTCTTGCCCAAATTTACAATCTACTTAATGAATCAATATCACTTATGTTTATAATGAAACTTTTTTTGTAGAGGGAATAATCGAAAAGTATTCTTTACCAAAGAATTCCTTTCCAAAGTCTTACCCGTAGTGGATTAATCATCAATACACACGTCAGGAACTCCATACAATATCGATATTTTGATTATACAAAAATTCATACCTTCAATAGTTGACTTGAGCCGCTGTCACAACTAAATAATCCACGACAAGGGAAAAAAGATGGACAGATAAGCATATATATTCAAAGCAAATATATATCTCGCGAAACCCTCTGTAGAGACATAAAAAAAAGAGAGAGAAATTGAGAAATCGCAGGATTACGGAACAGAAGCTCGATTGTTTACTTGTCTTTTTTTATACAGATATTTAATTAAAAAATATATAAATAAAAAAAAGCTTAAAAGGATTGACTAACGAAGGACCTGCCAACCTCACTCAAAACGTGAGCTTTTATGTTTATTTTTATATTTAGATTTTTACAAATTTAGACCCACGGATCACATTTTATTTCTAGACAGTTTTTTTTTTCTCAGAAAATAATTTCATCCCAACAGTGTATATTATTGGTTCATTTGGTTATTTTGTATCGATTAAATATTTGTCAATTGGAATAATAATCCGTGGTACAGACTCCCTTGTGTCAAATTACTAACATCCGCCTGAAACTTCGTAAATAGCTTCATCTCATCGTTACCCACAACTATTTTAGTTACGATAGTTTTCAATTTGGAGATCGGCAAACTTTGTCTATTTAATTAGGTAGTAAAAACTCGTTAATACCCATTTGCTTTCCACTTGAATCGTAAGATAACTAGGGCACAAAGTAAAAAAAAAGATGGCCTTCAAAAATATCTTTTTATCGATTTTGTGATCAAATTATCTTACGATCCAAGTGGAGAGCAAATGGGCATTTACGAGTGTTTAGTACCTGATTAAATAGATAAATTTAAAAGTTAAGTTAAATTTTGCTACCAATGGGTAGTTTCTCAACAAGCGTGTTTCATGTTAGTATATTCCTCTGTACACCTTTACTTAATGTATTCATACTACACAGTTGTAAATGGTCATACAGTTGTAAATATCATAATACAAATTTTAAAAAAAAAAGTTAAATTTAAATTCAATCTGAAAGTTGATAAACTTTGTCAATTTCATTAGGTACTAAAAACTCATAATAATCATTTGCTTTTCACTTGAATCGTAAGATAATTTTATCAGAAAATAGAGAAAAAAGGTGGCCTACAAAAGCATTGGTCCATTTGGCGTGACTTAAAACCCCAACATTTGAAAATAACGAGGTTAAATATTTGTAGGTCACTAATATTTTTGTAGGCCACCTTTTTTCTCGTTTAAGGTTAAAATAATCTTGCGATACAAATGGAAAGCAATATTACGAGTTTTTAGTACCTAATTAAATAGACAATGTTTGTCGGCTTCCAGATTGATTGAGGCATCCCAATTCCAAGAGTTTTCGTAAATAAAATAGTTGTAGATTACGATGAAATGAATCTATTCACGAAGTTTCAGTGGATGTTAATAATTTGATAAAAAAAAAAAAAGGGTTTTGTACCACGGACCATAACTTATGCGTAATAAAACTGTCATATATATTATGTTAAATTCAATCGAAGAATTCCTAACGAAATGTATTAATAGTTCTAATTATAACTAGCTTTGTCAGATTGATGAAGGCAATAGTTGAGTTGATGCCAAGTAAACAGAGTTGATTCGCAGTATTTTGCCTATTATTGTGTGATTAAGAAATTCCTTCTCTTGTGGATTCTATTTTAGAGCATTGTGTACTTGCTTTGAGAATTAGGATGACTTTATTTCTTCGGATACAGCTTAAATATAGCATAGTTGTCTTTCTTTTCAGAAAATAGCTTCTAGGATAGAGTAACATCCGTTGAGCTAACTATCGTTAGGAGCACTATTTACTTATTGTTAGTTAATTCTTTGCCATTCGGTTACTTACTATATTTCTGATCGGGTTGGTTCCTCGACCGCGAAGAAAAATATATGATTATAATGATATCATCAATTGAAGGCTTAACGAACCCGAAGGTTCGATACCGATGCCACCAATCTCTGTCTCCATACTTTCATCCACTCGGCACCATCCAAACCCAACACCGACAGACCAGCCTTTATGTAATGGTCGCACATTCGCTTAGGTCTACTCCTCGGATGTTACCATTTGTTACAGCACAAATTATCTTACATCATCATTTCAAATATTTATATATATCAAATGGTGTTAATAAATATCAAATCTTTAATTCATTCAAACCCAGCAATTTATATGCCCATTTTAATCACCTCAATGCAGCTGATTATATATTTTGTCTTATTTATACCATTTTTGTGATTTATATTAAGTTTATCTTATTTATACCATATATTTTGCTTTATTTGTTTCGAGTCATGGATTTAATTACCTATTTTCATCAACGTTGTTTTATTTAGTTTTAACAAATATATAAATAATATAAATATCCTTGAAAACGGTGACTTTTCTATCTGCATTCCAGTTTTTGATTCATTATTTTTGTCAAGTAGAAATTATTGTTTCTAACCTGGCAAGAGATCCTAAATTTATCATTCATTGGTGGCAGTGAAAAGGTATAATAAGTATAACTCTCAATTATGAGACAATAGTATACTGGCCGGTTCAGTAGGGTGTGAAAGGACGCCTGTGAAAATTCACCCTGTGCGCCTACAACACATGCGAAAGCTCGTCTTCTGGTTATTTTTATTGGGTATGGGTTTCTCATAACCTTTAATTACAGGATACTTATAAGAATTCCTTGTCTAAAATGTATTGTATCGTCCATTTATTAGTTTCAACTATAGACACCACAAGAAGATGGAAAAGTGTTTGCCTTCAGAATATTTATAGTTCAAATAGATTATGCCTCGAGTGGAAGACAAACATCTGGGCCTATTGACCTGTCTTACGTAAGCCCGCCTATCCTTATCTATTCCATATTGCCTTAATTTTGTCTTAATCATATCATACCTTGCGTTGTCGAAATTCCACCGTGATCTCCCGTTGGTCCGATACCAATGTCCACTTTGTTGGAACCTACATTTGTAAAAAAAAACTTGACACCCTCCTTCCGTCAATTTAACACTCCCCGTTAGAACAACGCTTATAATCTTTCTATTAATAGGATTTTAATCAAGCCCAACAAGGTTAAACATCCATTTCATTATCCGGATTTCATTACTTCGTTTATATTTACCGAGTGTTTTCACGCAACCTTGCATTCTGTTTATAGCTAAATCTCTCTAGTTGACTGATATTTCTTCGCTCTAAGTATATTATGCTATACATAGGCTAAAAAATAAGTTTGATTTTTGTTTTTGTAATTACCTGCTAACTCGTATAATGCATTAGTGTCTCAGGACTTACCACTAAATAATTTCATAATTTGGCGTTATATTGTATGCGAAAATTCTTTAAATATTCCTATATAAATATTTATTCAATTATCATAGTCCTTGTTGATACAGACTCCTTTTTATCAAATTACTAACATCCACATGTAACTTCGTAAATAGCTTCACCTCATCGTAACTTACAAATATTTTGGTTACGATAGTTTTCAATTTGGAGATTGGCAAACTTTCTCTATTTAATTAGGTACTAAAAACTCGTTAATACCCATTTGCTTTTCACTTGAATCGTAAGATAACTTGAGCACAAAGTCAAGAAAAAAGATGGCCTTCAAAAATATTGAACCGTTTGCCGTGACCTACATCCCAAAATTATCAAAATAACGAGGTTATATAGGCTAAACGGGCCAATATTGTTTATCGATTTTGTGATAAAATTATCTTACGATCCCAGTGGAGAGCAAATATTTACGAGTTTTTATTACCTAATTAAAATGATAAATTTTGCTAATCTCCAGATTAAAAACGTCCCAATTCAGAGAATTTTCGTAAATAAAATATTTGAAGCTTACGATTTATTAAGTTTCAGGCGGATGTTAATAATTTGATAAAAATGGGTCTATACCATGGACTATCAGTGTTTATTGCGAGACTTAACCTGTAAAAAGTAAATACATTAGAAATGCATTTAATTAATAAGGTTTCTAATATTTCTTCATTTATCAATAACTGATAATAGACATAAACTAATAACAGGCATATTACAATCACGTATGTTGCCTATAAAAAATCACCAATGTATTGCTATGCTAATACAGTGAAATTTTGGATTACGAATCGCTCTTATATTAATCTTTTAGCGGTCCTAGATTATCAAACATACTTCCCTGATCCATTTACACCATTTGTTTTTCTTCATTACATATTACACCCATGTCCATTCTAAATATATGTCCATAATTCCTTGGGAATATACTATTTTATCAGCAAATTACAAAATTTTATCATATTATTGCTTAGAGTGTAATTTATTTCAATAAATATAGAAAAGTTGAGGACTATGGGAGGGCCGGAAAAAGACAAGGGACGATAAATTTCATGCAAACATTTTGTATTAAAGTCTTATCTATAAATATAAAGTGTATGAAGTGATTGAGATATCTAACAATGCATATACCGTTAACACGTTTTTTAAATAATTGTACTGTAAGCGAAATGGTTATTCTTGTATAAAGAACAAGAATAACCGTGCAAGACAAATATTATAAAAATTTATACTTGAAAAATCAGGAAATATTGATTCGTTGATAAAAAATTATTAACGAATTAAAATCATCACGTTCCACTGCCGGAACTATGGTGTTGCAATTAGGGAAATAAGAGTAAAATGAAATCTAACAGTGACTGAGGCCCAGGAACAGTGACTGTGAAACCGACAGGACGATAAATTCCCGATATAGCTGTGACCCAGTTCCAGTTCACTTGGCGGCCCTAATCAAGTTCCCAGTTTGGCAATAACTCCAATACCTCACTTTAATTCAGTTTGTTCTAGCGTACCCTTTTTCTTTTCTTTGTTTATCGGCTCCAAGTTCGCAATGGCGTAAGAAACTTTTTTATCCGCTTCCTTTTAGAAGCTGAAGTTCTTTCGAAAGGTTGGAGAGGCGAAGGGACCTTTCCAGGTTACGTAACAATATCGATCTCGGAGGGGTATCGTTGGGGTCGCTTATGGAAGCGGATCACTGGATATCTCGATATAAATAATGTATTAAAATAAATTTTTCGGAAAACGTAGAAGGGAAATTGTACTTCAACTTTAAGAAGTCACACAAGGATTTTGCATCGTTACAACTATAGTCAACTTATTGCTCATCCGGTCGAACAGTGCAACTGCAAATCATAAAATTTTAGAGGATAGGCAAAATAATTAGAGTTACCTTTATATAAGTAATCAGTATATAAGTTATCTTCTATGTATTCAAATTGTGCTTGTTTTAAATTACGACTTCGGTTTGATAAAATACGTCTCTTTTATAATTTAACGTTCTACAGTATTTTCCGTTGCGTCATTGTTTCATACGATGAACGATATAAAAGAGTATATCATGAACTGTTTTATAGATTGTTTTGGAACCTTCCTATAGCAACTTTGTAATTATTATAAACAGTTTAATTATTGTAATTCTACTTTTTTAAAGAATGAACTACTAACTGAGCGAAAATGTTAACAGTGTGTAGACGATATTTAATTTCGTAGTCTACATAGATTGTAGTCAATTCCGTTTAAAAATTATTAGTTTTACTTATTTATTATTTTTTTATTTATTTTTCCACTCTCCCATATCACTAGGACAAAACAATAAATAAATAAATATCTACAATATAGTACAATAAATAAATAAATAACTATAATGCAGTACAATAAATAAATAAATAGCCATAATATAGTAAGACATCAAGTGGACATTAAGAGAATCGCTATGAATGAGATAAAAGAAGCAGACCAAATCTGCCTACAAGCAGATATGGGCAAATGCTACTCTGATTACCGAGTTCTTTGTATTTTACTCAAATACTGACATTTTTTGATTACCAAAAAATTTAATTTCTATCTCAGTTAATGTCAAAGATTAACTGAAGTAGTGATTCAATTCTCAATAGTGATTCAATTTGAGTAAAATACTTGGTACTCGGTACTCAGAGTACAATTTGCCCATTTCTGCTACTAGTAAATGAAGATAAAACAAAATGTACTGTGTTACTTAATGTTTATTTGATTTCACCTGATCAATTTTACTATATATTCAGTCATATTGATCGTTTATTGTAACTAATGTAGCCTATACCCCCACCCAAAAAAATAAATTTAAATCAAGAGATTCGCATTCTTTCTCAAGTTTTGTCCTTGAGTGCAAGAATTGTCTATAATACCTTTGGGAAAATCCTATTTCATTTATTCTTTTCGTTCGTATACCTTTTAATCTCAAAGTTATATTTTCGGTAATTAGGCTTTTAATGATTAAGAAATATTTTTAAATTCTTTTTTTATTAATTTAAACACTTCTTATGATATCGTTTTACTGACGATCTATCAGCGTAGTGTCTTCCATATCTAAAGTTTGGAATGATATATTTAGTTGGCCGTAATGTAGTTTGCCTCATTATCCATCCAAGTCCCAGCTCGCCAAACTCATCACACAACTTCCCAAGAAGTCGAATCCTGGGAGAGTACACGTCAATTATTAGCAACTCCATTATAGATAACTGCGAGGCATCACGCGTGATAACGCCGGCAGGAATATTAACCGAGCTATCGCTCCTCATTTGGCGCCCAATCGGTGAGAACCCGCCTCATTGCATTCACGAACGTTTCATTCTGCATCCGCCATCAACAGGTATTCTTGGTCGTGCTTGTTTGTTATTTCTAGAATTAATATTGCTTGTTTCTCTAATTGCTCCTGGTGTCAAGAGTATCTGGCTTTCTCATAAAAAATTGAAAAACGATAATATATATTTATTTACACGATAAAATATATTTGCCTATATTTTTTTTTTCATGTTTTTTAAAATTATTTTTGTGCGAATTAGCATTTGATTTATTTAAGTGTTTAATATGGCTTCTTATTGAGTCTGGCATCTGATCTTTAATAACTCGGCAAATTCCGACTCCGTACACACTTTCTCATCTTTCTCTATTTTCTCTTTTCTGAATCCTATCAGTTAATAACCGGAGACATGGAGCCTTTGTACAAGCACAATTAGTATGCTGAATATTTTTAAAATAAAAATATTGTGAAGAATTTATGGAGCTGTTTGTGAAGAGGATGAACATCTGAAGACTGAACGTTCTGGCTGCAAGACAAACGTCTCAAACTTAAAATTAATTATAAATACCTCATTAATCCCCATTATTAAGGCTAATGCACTTAAGGATTACAGGTTTAGAGCTACATCAAACCATGAAATTCCTCTCGTATCCCATCCTTATAATGTAAAATCCTTCCTAAAAATCTCAATCTCCCATTTTTTCCATAAATAAAATATCATAATAAAACCTAAGTGTTCTACATATTGACAATTTGGCTCCAATCATTTTTTCTTATTTTGTTTCATCTTCGCGATACCTGATAACCACCCTAGAAGTCTGAAAACAAGACGGTCTTGAGACCTCGTAATCCAGAATTTTCATTGGAGTACTACTAATGAATAGTTTCTTTATAAGTGTTTCCATATAATTATATATAGCTGTTTACAATCACTAGTTATAAAATTTATGAATAAAAAAAATTATATTATACTTCGATGCATATAAAATGGAATTTGATTAATTTATCTTAATTGAAACAATATAATTATATAAAGAACTGGTCGTTAATGATGATTGCATTATTAAACACAACAACAGAGTGATTGTATTCTACAGGCATTCGACATTTGGGACCCCTAGGCAATGACGTCATCTCTCCCAAAAAAAATGTAATTTATATATATATTCCCTAAATATGGTATGCAGAGTAGACGTAAAGTGGGCAAGTTGTTGGAGGTGCCGTGGACAGAAAGGGAGAAAAGTCGGCTGAGACAGGCGTAACCAAAGCCGTGAAGGCCTAGCCGTTTATTTCTTAAGGAGCTCGACCGGTGTTCCGCAGGGATCATGATTTAGTCACCATTGGCACCAACCGCACTTTTTCACCATCCACTGCGGCCGGAAGGGGCGAAAGGAGGTCAAAGCCGCCAGGTTTCCGATGAGGATTGTTGTATGTCCCATTAGCAACAACCGTCAAACGCCCGTAAATAATTTTTTCAAAGGACTTACTCGTTATTGAACGAACAATACCATAAAGAACCTGCAAGGTGTCTCTTTTTCATCCATTCTTTTATTACAATATTTTTGCAGTTGATACACAAATACTGCAAATGAAAATTAATTTTTTCCTAAGAGTATGACGGGCCAATACTAACATGTTAGTTACCAAGAGTAAAATTTATGGTTAAATGTAAAATGAAATTGTTAATTTTTTTTTTTACTCGTTGTGTAATTTAAGAGGACTTTATGGTCGAGCACCTTGCGGCGTGGGTTCCAAAATGGCCGGTTATGAACGTTGTGGGTTCGATTCCTACCTGGGTCGGTTAATATTTATTTTCGGCGGATCCGAGAAATGAATCTTGACACTCCTACTCTGGTAAGCACGCGGTGGTAATCTCAAGGTAGTCGTCGACCACTTCCACTTACCGAACCACTTCTCTCCACCAGTACCAGTATAATTTCAATATAATTCTTAACCTTTGTAGTAACAATCGAATAAAAATGCTTAATAGAACATTTTTTTCTGTAAATTTTCAGTATCAGGAACATAAACAACTAAGAGGGCTCTGAAACGTATAGATCCTAAAACCGCATATCGGAAATTTGACCCAATTGTAATACTTTCCTTACCTAGCAGGTAATTAAAAAAAAAAAAAAATTCTGTGACTTATACTCTAGTAACTAACACTTAGCAATTATTTTGATAGGTATTCGTATAAAAGACAGACACCCTATTCTCCATATTATTAAAAACAAAATAAAATTTTCGCTATTGTTAATGCGAAAGGTCGTATCTAAAAATTGTATTTTTTTACTGAAAATCTAATTATCTCTTTATAATTTATTGATATTATTTCATTTTTTATTTCCCTCTGTTATTTTCTGTAGTACCTGGCTAATTATAGCAGTGTAGACTAAAAAATTTAAGTTTTAGTACAAATAAAATAAAAATGGAAAATTTTAACATACGAGCTTTCACACTAATAGTAACGTTATATTATATTGAAAAAATATATGAGAAAATTATATACAGAAAAACGATTTTTTTTTTTTGTTATTATGGATCTTCGCTATTAGAGATTTCATAATTCTTAAGTTTTTTTTTTTAGTTAAAACGTTGATGAGGATTATGTTTTATTTTATGCAAGATATTTACTTATGTTTTTATTTAAAGCCAGAAAGTCATGATTTGTGTATGAAATATATATTTTTCATATATTTGAAATATTTTTCATTTTAATGAGTTGCCTTCTTTTGGATAATATTCGAGTCGACTTCTCAAAATTAAAGCTAGAAGAAGAATCATTGGGATTAGAAAATTGATAATTCTCTCAGGAATTAAAATCTTAGCCAGGATTTTGGATTATATTACAATTATCATACAATAAAGAAAGCTGAAATAACCTCCTAACGACCTTCTGTGTTAAAAGCTCTCTGTGCAAACACCTTTTCAGCCTCTGAACATAATTAGAAATAAATGGGAGTATAAATCTATTAAATACGCAAGGATATTGGAAATGATCTGCTGCAACTCCTAAATAAATATCTGCAAATTTTTATATATTTATTAGATGAGAAGCTATACTACATCACTAATTTTAATAAGCTCAAATTTTAGCCCTGAACTTGTACGGATTTAATAAGATTTCTCTTATGCTACAAAGGTGTCGAGTCTTGTTTCCACTTGGCGTTGGGAGATACTTCATCCCTCAGCGCCAGAAACTAAACACTCGATAGAGATCAAAGGAACCTGACAGATTTCAAAACAAATGTTTTTGACAAGCATACCTCCGCTCAGCACGTAACCCGAAACTACATTGAAGAGAGTTGCTAGTTAAGCAATTTTAGGAATTATTATATTAATCAAAAATTGATTTTGCATTTATAATTATTGTTGAGAATGTTGATTTAACAATAGAGTTAAGAACGTTTTATGGGAAAAGGATGTAGTGATGTTCTCTGAAGGAACCTTGCCAACATAGGGGTTTCAGATCACGTCGAGGATTAGGGAGAGCTGGGAGGTAAATAGATCTTCCTCCTTGGATTAGGACTTGATACATCCAACAAGCAGAGAGAGAGAGAAAATATCATCTCAGGACCGGGGTATGCCCCTACGTGTTCTTATCACGTATCGTTAGAATCTCAGGGGATTCGAGAGGGTAAGTAACGTAATAAAGTAACCTAAAGGCGAAGGGTAATGAAAAATATCATCGAGATTGGTAAGATTAGAGTACCTTTGGAGGCTGAGCGCGGATAAAATGATAATATAACAAGATAAATGATTGGTAATATAAATGTTAAAGACCGATACAAAAACACGTTAAGAAGGATATTGTTTGAAGATTTGGAGTATTACAGAAACAAAAAACACTGCGTTGGTTTAAAATGGCCTTTGGGTCTCCCTACATTGTTGGATGGAAGCCTTGATGAAGACCTACAACGTATATTTAAAATAATAAGATAGTAATATAAAATTAGATGTTGACCGCAACCCCCGACTAGCTATTCTTGAAAAGTTATTTGGTTTGTCAGAATTTAGTTGAGTGGGATGTTTTTTAGATTGCGTTCACATTAAAGACGTCAGTCAGTCCATTCACGTCTAGTGCGCCTAGCTTTCTGAAATTTAGTGTCAACTTTTTGAATTATTTGTGACTCAACTGACGGACTAACGTCCTTAGGGTAATGGTACCCTTAATAGTTCCATTTGGAACTGCCTCATAAAGCATAAAATTTTATACTACCCAAAGAATGATGATTTTTTATAAAATAAAAATGATGAATATTTATGAGACTGGATAACGCCAAAGTGCTAAACTTACACTCGGAAAATATTATTTATACGTAGTAACAAGATTGAAGCAGAAACGAGGAATAATAAACGTTGAAAGGATAGACTGAGATATTCATTGACGGATCGTGTTATGAATCCAAACCTTATGAAATAATTTGGTAGTCGTGCATTCCAAGAGATTTCCATCATAAATATTAAATGCAGATCAAACAGAGATAAGAAAATCATAGTTGGTTCTGAAAACAATAAGGAAAAACGTGATTCTTGTTATTCTCTTGGGGTCCCTATGCCGGAGTAATACTCTTTAGAACTGTGACCGTCTTTTCCTCTTCCTCTTTAATATTGTACAATTACCGAGAGGAACGGAATGTCCCTTTGTGTTCGCTTCCAAGTCTTATTCCTTTATTTTACCCTTTTGTACAATTTCCACATACTTGGAATCTTTGAATCCTCAATGAGCATGTATTAATGCGTGGGCATAATACGAGATTATTTTGTTTGTTTTTTACCGTTATAATTCTATTCTGAATTTTTAAATATTCTAACTGGATCAAAGAGGCGAAAGATTTAATTTTATATTTTGAAAGATCAAATCAGTGCAGCGATCTTTTTTATCTGCACCGCATTCCATCGCCCCACCTCGTTTCGTTTTAGCGCGACCCAAACCCAAGGCTATCCGCGAATTCACGTCTAAAGCGAGTCAAGGTTAACTGAGCACATCCCCTACCCTCTAAAGCTCAGGCCTACAATTGACTGAAATTGGCACGTACCTTTAATAAATATTTATATAACGAGTGATTCACGTGAATGCTGATTTGTCTTTCGCACCTTCAGCATTTAAAATAAACAATTCAGGGAAATTTAATTACGTTCCAGTGTCTTGGTTGCAAGTTTAAATTCTAGTTGTTGTCCCAAACATATTGATTCTTCGTTATGAATCATTGAAGCATTTAAGCTATTCGGTTCTTTTTAAAAGACTCACAAATAAAAAGGCTGGATTCTCCACGACGACTCCAACAGTAACTTACCTTCCTCCGGTTCACAGATCCGACCAGAGATACCAAAAGTACCTTGGACTCTGGTTGGAAACGTAGATAAGAATAAGGCAACTGAGACAGGACAATGTTATCCAGTTCTGAATCTTAACCTCCGCCGCTTTCTGTTTCTCCTGAACAATGTGCGTTTCTTTTGTATTCCTTGAGGAAGTACAATTATGTTTCCGTGATTCGTTTATGAACTCGATGACAGAGAAATTACTTAGTGAGAATTCAAAATGAATACGTTCTACCCGTTAGCATCTCGTTAACAGTTAAGGAGATATCTTCATCCCAATCCGAAATGTCATCGTCAAAGTGTTAGGAATCCTTGGATGGTATCATTTATAATTCCGTTCCGGTTATAGCAAATTTATTCTGACCACGGACGACACAGCATTCCCTGCAATTTTGTTTCAGGTGTGAAATCCTCCAAGTGCCGTTATAATTCTGTCCAGTCCTTACCTAAAGTCTTGGGAATAAGGACGTAGGAAAGATTGAGTCGTCAACCTTCAGTTCGGATCTACTCTATACGGCAAGAATAAATCCCTTTTCCGAAGTTCAAGAGCAATGGATATCGATGAATGATATGTAAAACGAAAGGGGATTTTATGGGGAACTGATCAATCTTAAATAAAGTTAAAATGTTAATGCAATTACTATAAAAATTAGTAAAAAAAATTGGAAGGTTTCAAAACTCAAATGGTTTCAAAACCCGACAGATCGAAACGAAATAAGTTGTGTATTAAAGATGTCGACCAAGAGCCAAAGGAACTATAACAGGATCTGCGTTATAAAGCCTTATAATGTATTTTTTGTTATTTTTTTGGATAGACCATAACTGTTAACGATAATCACATTATCCAGTAGTATGAGTTTCGTACGTTTGTGGGTGTATCTTTTCAATTTTCCCAATGATCAAGTTATCTGAAATAGAGGTGGAAGAAAAAAATATGTGTTAGCCATTGAACTTAATGTTTAACTCTCGAAAGGTGTAAGTATGAAAGCATAATTGAAATTCTGGTATACTTACTATCGAGAGTTCCCTATTAACCTCATACTTGTGTTTTGAATAACCTCTAATTTCATGTATTTGTGTACTTGCATGAAAAAATTA